TTCAGTGATATGTCCATACTACACATTGCTAAGGATACGTTATTCATGCTTGTTCTTTCCTCTCAAGGGGCTCATAGTCTAGTTTGCACAAGAAAAGAACAAGTGCATGGTAAAGGGCTAAATGGGAAGGTGCAGGCCAGGGGTGTTGTATTGAACTGCCATAGTACCGCCGCGCTGGGCATGAGGCCTCCTGTCTCACCTGTGCTGCGAACAGCCATCTCTTCTCTTGATACGAAACTTACATATTTTAAAATGCCTGCCCCTTTCCACTCATGGGAAAGCTTGATTTTTTTCCTGTGCTTCAGTTGGTATTTCTACTGCTGTGATAAATACCACATGTAAAAGCACCACGGAGGAGGAAAGAGTCTACACGGCTTCCCACAGTTCATCATGGAGAAGATAAGGCAGCAACTCAGAGGAAGGAGCAGAGGCTGTTATTCTGGAGGAATGCCCACTACCGGATTATACACCCCAGAAGCACCTGCCCCGTGACGGCGCCACCCACGCTGGGCTGGGCTCTCACAGAGCTGCCAGCAATCAAGACACTTTGCCACAGGATTGCCTACAAACCCACCGTAGGGAGATCTTTCTTTCTTTCTTTTTTTCTTCCTTCCTTCCTTCCTTCCTTCCTTCCTTCCTTCCTTTCTTTCTTTCTTTCTTTCTTTTGTTTCCTTTCCAAAACAGGGTCTCTTTGTGTAGCCTTGGCTGGCTTGGATCCTCTTTATAGACCTGGTTGACCTCGAACTCAGAGATCCGCCTGCCTCTGCCTCCCCGAGTGCTGGGATCACAGGCGTGTGCCCCCACACCCAACGAAGATGGGTTTTCAGTTGAGGTTTTCTCTTCTCAGATGACTCTAGCTTATGTCAAGTTGATAAAAAAAAAAATTCAACAAAAGTTAATGTTCTCCTTGCTTGAAAACTCGCTGACTTTGTTTTGATCATCAAAGGAGGTATATTCCCCAGGCAATGGGCCTCTTAACTTCAGTATCACCTCTGCTTCCCTTCCTCCACCCAAACTTCACGAAACACACACAGGGTAGACATGTATGCACATACAGACATAGATCTGTGTGTACATAAATATGCACTGTATATATTTCATTTGTAGTGAGTGTCCAAGATAGTACTATCTTTATGTACTATACATAATGTATGGATACAGTACTATAATAATGCATTGTTACTCAAAAGAGACCTAAAGTACCTGTCTGTCTGTCTGTCTATGCACACATACATTACATGTTAGATCCATCACCTCTGTGGCGTCTCCATCAATCCTGTTTTCTCACTGGTGCCATTTCAAGCTTGTCCATTTAGCCACTCAGCCATTCAGCTGTTCAATACCTACTTCAATGCCTATTCAATAACTGCACATTCTCAATACTAGGGACAAACCACTGACAAGAAAAGCACGCTCACCTCGTCTTAGTTACTTTTCTGATGCTACGATAATACCATGACAAAAAGCAGTCTCGAGAAGAAAAGGAATTATTGTAGCTTGTAGTTCCCAGGGAGGAAATTCCATCGTGCCCAGGAAGGTACAGCAGCAGGAACAGGAAGCTGGATCACATCCTTCCTACACCAGAAGGTGGGAGGGGAGGGAGAGGAGGACAAGGAGAGGGGGCGAACAGGAAGTGTGATCAGGCTGTTCCATGGTGATGCACATCTTCCTGCAAGGTTCCGCCTCCTAAAGGACCCTAACCTCCCCAAGCAGCGCTGTCAGCTAGGGAATCAAGTGTCCAAACAGGCATCATTCAAACCCCCACACTTCTCTCAGAGAGAAATGAAGTGCATAAGAGAAATGTCCTCAATAAAAGAAAAACCGGGCTGGAGACATGGCTCAGAGGTTAAGAGCAGTGGCTGTTCTTCCAAAGGTCCTGAGTTCAATTCCCAGCAACCACACAGTGGCTTATAACCATCTATAAAGAGATCTGGTGCCCTCTTCTGGCGTGCAGGCATACATGCAGACAGAATATTGTATACTGTATTGTATACATAATAAATAAATCTTAAAAAAAAAAAAAAAGAAAAACCAATTCAGCAAAAACGTTAATAAATATTGCAGCGAGAGACAAGGTGAAGATAAATGATCTCTGCCAGTAGGAGTGGGGTCTAGAGGTCAGGAGATCACAGACAGGTGACGCTAGGTCCAAGAACCTTGAAATTTGTTCTCTGTTAGGTTTCTTGGCCATTCTTGTTTGTGACATGGACATAATGATCTAGAACTCACGGCTGCTGAGAGCTGCTATTGGTCAAAGGTATCTTTTATTTTAGCTGTTCTGTTCCTGTCCTACTTTGGACAGTCTTTTTTCCTTAAGCTTGGACAGGAAACCTGGTGTAGGCAAGCTCTGTACTGCAGAGCTATAAAATCCACCCTTGTTTTCTTGTTTTGTGATAGAATCTTGCTATGTAGCCCAGGCTGGCCTTGAACTCTCCGTTTAGTCCAGGCTGGCCTTGAACTCAGTATCTTGCACCTGCGTTCAGAATGCTGGGATGATAGGCAAGTGCCAGTGACTATGCCCTGATACTGGCTCAGTATGTTTTATGTTTGCTTTCTTACCTGCTCTCCTTTCTTTTTAACATATAACATCAATAAAGACTATCTTTTTAACTTATCAATTCAGTTTCTTTACACACTTTCAAGAAACTTATATGGAGTTATAAAAAGCAGGGGAGGACAAAGAATTAGTGGAAGGGTTCAGAAGGAAGTGGAAAAGGAGGGAAATTCAGCTTGGTTCTAGGTGGTCTCCCTAGTCCGTTTGTTTCTTCAGTTGTCGTCATTGGTAGCCTCCTCACAGGTGCCTAAGGATTAGGTGCACGAGGGAACTCGCTGGCTTCTGGTGCTCAGAAGCTGACAGGGAACATAAACCTGAAATAAATAATTAACCAAATTAATGTATAACCACACTTCATGGCAAGAGCCGCAGAGCACAAAGTGTCTGTAAAATGCTGCTGTTTGAAGAGGAGCCATGGACAGGCACACTCGCCCGGGAGCTTGTTAGGAGAGTGGAGGCTCAGTATTCACCCAGGAACTCCCGAGGCGCCTCTGCATTTTAACAAGATCCCATGGGGAGCTGTGTGCACCGCAGACTCCGAGAAGCCTGGCTCTCTAGTCCACAGGCTGGGGGAAAACAACAGGTGGACCTAGGTTCAGCCTGTGGGTCAGGGAACAGTTCTCTGCAGACGGCCTCTGAGTGCCCCAGGAAGACAGAGGCTCCATGGAGGCCTTGAGGGCAGGGGGAGAACTTACATCCTTATCCTACAAGCAATTCAAAGATGGTGTGTGTGTGTGTGTGTGTGTGTGTGTGTGTGTGTGTGTGTGTGTG